GCAGATTTTTTGGCTGAAAGAGAGAGAGAAAGAGAGAGAGAGAGAGAAAAAAAATTCTGTTTAATGCATTCGCAGATCGAAGGAGTAAGCTGTGTTCCCTTTTCATTTCTTTTTCATTTGCATGTATTTAATTTAATGATAGACTGATGAACTGTGTATTTATCCTGTGAAAAATAAGTTATACAAAAATTATGCTATTGTTGTTATTATTATTGTTGTTATTTTTACTACTATTACTACTGCTGCTGCTACTGCTACTACTACTACTACTACTACTATTACTGCTACTACTACTACTCCTCTTACTTCTGCTGCTACTGCATTTACTGCTGCCACTACTACTACTTCTGCATCTACTACTATTACTACTACTATATATAAATTTTCAACGATAAAAATAATAATAAAAACACCTCATTTCAAATTTTCTATTATTATTATTATATGTTGTATATAATATTAACGATTATCATAATTTTATTATTATTATTCCTATTTTTTGAAGAAGATAACTAAATTTATTTTTTCCCCTGATTTTTCATTGATAAATTTCCTTGCTCAAATTTTCTCATTAGCATAATTTATTATTATTATTGCTGTTTATTATTATTGTTGTTGTTATTATTATTTTAATTATTAGTATTATTATTTGAAATGAACTCAATATATGTATCTATTTGTTGTCATTTTCGGATTCTAAATTAAGAAGAATTAAAGCACTTTCTAGGTACGGGTAACTGTAAAGATTTGAAATATACCCATATAACCCCTGATAATGGGCAGAAATTGAATATAGCCCACGTATTCCTGACCGTGAACACCAACGATTTTAATAAATTTGTTCAATAATTATTTAATAATTTATTTAATAATTTCAGTAAATTTGATAATAATTGTAAAAACCGAAATTCTAAAAACTCGATGGATTTTATCATTCATTGCATCAATTATGGTCTTCTTCCAGCCTTTGTTATATATATTTACATGTATGTATATATATATATATATTATAGATAATTATATATATATTTAATGTAGATGTTTAATGCAATAGTTAATTACGTAAATAATGGTATAATTTTACTATATAAGACATTTATATTTGTTGTATCTGTAATTAATTATACTGTAATTATGTCATAAATATATATGAATGTATATGTATGTATATATATATATATATAATTATAAATAAATATATATAATTATATTAACATTCATGGTAATGATTATCCAGAATATTTAGATGTGATGTAACGTAATTTAGTTTTTGTTTTTTTTGGTTTTTCTTATTGTTCTTATTCAGTTTTTGTTATTATTGTTGTTTTTTGGACAATTTTCTTCTAGAATATATACATTTATCATATTCGTTATTAATAATTATTTCTGTATTATTATTATTATTGTTATTATTATTATGTATTGATTGTTGTCCTTAATTGACGATTTGTTTTTTTTTTAATAATTATTGAGAAAATAATTATAAACTGTTGGGTTTCTGTCAAAGTTTTAAATTGATTCATTGATTTGGGCATTTATCCATCCATTCGTTCGTTCATTCATTCATTCGTTCGTTCTTTCGTTCATTCATTCGTTCGTTCGTTCGTTCATTCGTTCGTTCGTTTGTTCAAACGTTAAATGAATAAAAATGTTGAATCATATATTAAAAACATCTGTGTTAACATCGCGGGCACTTACTAAATAGCTGTAAAATCAATCACCAGATCTTTGTACTGTTACTAATTAATTACGTACATCTTAGTAAAAGTATCAATAAGTAAAGTTAAAACATCCAAGTAAAATTACAACTACTAGTACTTAGAATATAACCACTGGTTAAGTAATATTAAATAAGTATTTGTTCTAAATTTAGACCCTGGGCTATATTTAGACCATGGGCTATATTTAGACCCTGGGCTATATTTAGACCCTGGGTTATTTTTAGACATCCAGGCCATCGTCGTAGCCAATGTTAGTGGCTCCATGTTGATTTGTTTGGTGATCCTTGACTTTAGTACCACCCCCAATGAAATCCGTGATTTGTTTGTCGCCGATGTCTATTGTGGACCAGTTGCTCGTGGCGTCGATGTTTGTGTTCTCCTCAAACTGAAGTAGAATTATGCACATACACATATACACGCACGCACACACACAAATACACACACATACACACAAATACATATTAATATTGAAAATGCTTTTGAAATGTTTACCAGAGTGAGTTATATTAAGATTCGTGATTAATATACAACAACTCAATCTGAAAAGCAATCAATTATTTTTGGAGAGATAGAGCTAGCAAGAGAGGGAGAATAAGAAAGAGAAAAAGTGAGAAAATGAGAGAAAGAGAGAGAGAGAGATGGTCACAAAAGAATGATCATCATCTTGAAAAAATATGACGTCATTCACCATGGCCATGATGGAGTTCCTCGGTTTATGACTCATCCTCCTGTCGATACTGACGTCATCAATCACGTGGTCATATTTGGACCCCCCGTAGCAGCAGTTGAACAGAGTAAGGAATCCACCGATTAGGCTGAGGGCGACGATGACGATGAGGATGACGATCATGATGATGATGACGACGTTCAACGGCCCATCCGGTTTTGGTGATGACGTCATTGTTGAGTTGCTGTTTTCAGTTACGTTGTTGTTGATGTTGTTGTTGTTGTTGTTACCGCTGTTGCTGCTGTCAAATGATGAGGAAGAGGATGTTTTTTGCGTTGTTGTTGTTGTTGCTGTTGTTGTTGTTGTTGTGTTATCATCCGCAGATGTTGATAAAGCATTATCTTCGATGAAGTTCGTCTTCAAAGATGAGTTCGTCGTTGT